AAACACCTGGAGGATAGATAAAAATAAGGTAGAAAGCAGAGATAAGATTTAATACAGACATGACACAGCTTTTAATGATGATTCTGATAAATAAAAAATTCGAATTCTGTTTAGGAAGTAACAAGATAGATACATTTAGGGTTGCTTTGAATGTAAAATTTATGGTCAAGCTCTCTAAAGCAAAAGTTTCACATCTTTCTTCATTGCAGGAGAGCACAGAGCAGTGCACTGACATAGAAAAATCAAAACAATTTATTATATGTCTCTGTTCCTCACCTCAGCCTAAGAAGTTGATCAGCACATTTGGTATCTGAGTGATAATTTAACTGGGGTAGCAGTTACGCCTCAAAATGTAACAACAAAATCCAACATTAGTGGAACAGCAACAGAACGGGCAAGAAATGGTGCATCAGTGAACCAGACCATTTGTTCAAATGTCCAAGGACAGCTCTCGGTATTTTTGTTAATCACAAGTCCAGATTGATCTTTACCTAACAACAGCTGGCATCCAGTATTGTTTATTTTTCTATTTTCCTGTTTGCAAAGGACAGATTACTCTGTGCATACACTGAAATTTGTGTCAGCTGAAATCTTTTGCTAAACACAGATCAGCATATATATATTTATTGTAGATCACTAAGAGTTTTTAGACCTTATGATACAGCACACCTGGATGTCCACGCCAATCACAATACTGACCACAAGGGACCTTTTCACTACCCAATGGGATTTATGGGATGACTAGCTCACTGCCACTAACTAAAAGAAATAAAAACACATTGTTTACATTTAGTTCAGATATTGAGCCTACTGCAAAACCACAGAAACCAAACTTATGTTTCAGAAGAGCAGCTTTAATACCTAAAAACATTTTAAGAGCGTGCTTTGCGCAACATAGCAAAAGCCCCAAATGTTTACTTACTGCATTTTTATTCAAAATAAGGACAAGCAAGCAAACCAACCATATTTATTACAAACAACGTCTGGAATTTTTAAAATGAAGGTTTTTTTTAAAAAACATATTGATAAGATCTGCTGTAAAAACATAGTTTCCTTTTAAAAACAAATCTATTTAAAATTCTGAAGTTACAATCTTGTATTAAAAACCTCAGCTTACAACAGTCTATTTTTAAAGTAAATAAAGTGGCCTTCAGATGTCCCAGTCACATTGCCAATTATGTAATTCAATGCAGGAGAAAGAGTTGATGCAAAAAAACAAAAACAAAAACCCAGCCTACCTAATTATGCTTATTCATGTCCTCATAGTGGCAGAGGCTTAGAAAAGTCAGATTTACTAATTGCAAAATCTTGAACGCACCCAATTCCATTTGAGCAATGTCCATCAATGAATGCTTTCCACACAAACATTGCTTTGACCTATTTCTTTCCCCAGTTCTTCTATATTAGGGGTAGTTTTATCAATCAGGTAACATTGCACATTCTAACTAGAAAATCAAATCCATTAAAATGTAACTTACATAGAAAATAGAAATCTGCAACATTCACCAACTATTAGAACATAATGGATAACTGAAATAAATATTTGATAAACCATAAGGTGTTAGACAAAGAAATAACTTGAAGCCTGTGACATTGCTCATAAACTTAAAAATAAATAAATAAATAAATAAAAATTACAAGGGTGACCAGCAGAAAGAAGGTAATAAGATGTTCCCAAAAGTTAGTAGTCAGCAGCAGTCCAAGACTGGAAACCAGAAAAATCATAGTGGTGGTGTTTAACTGAAATTTTTTGAAGGCAAAGTCAGGTCAGCCACGGTATGGTTTGGTTAAACCTGCTGCAAAAACCTTAAAAAGGAAGAGTCAAACTGTCTCTGCGTGACCTGATTCAATCCTTAACTGCCCTTCTGCATGATTCCAGTGAGTTCTGACCACTGAGCATCGGTCACATTAAACAAACAACTTTAAAATTCAGATTACCTTCATTTGCAACCAGTTGTTTTAACCATTGTGACACTGTAATGTAATGGAAAGCACAGCAATGACAGCAGAGTAGCAAAGTCCTAGGTCGCAGCAAGTGAGGACTAGCTCAAATGCAACAGCTCTGGACACAGAAATAAAGGAAAGAATCTGCTTACCTTTGGAAGGCCTTAGGTGTACAGGGATCTCCAGCAAGATACCCTCACCTCCACTGCCAACCCTTAAACAAGATCTGCCAGTACCTGAGCTCCCCTGGGTCGGCCCTGCCTTCCCACCAGTACTCGGTCATTGGTTCAAGCTGTGACTTGGCATTTCCACTAAAAACACTTTTCACAAGTTTTAAAATTCTTTTGTTTGGCATTAAAAAAAAAAAAAGATACAACAAACCTAAATAGAATTTCATTTGTCATTTAAATAGCAGAAGTCACCTTCTCAGATCAATTGAGATTGTAATGTATTATGCTACAATCAGAGGATCTCCTTTTTGTCAACCATACAGAAAAAAAGAAAAAAGAACAACCTCTCTTGACTGGAAACTTGACACTTTCCCTCTTCACATACTGATTTTCCAGCAGTACAAATCACATTTCTTTCTTCAGATAGATTGTTGGCTAGGTGATGGAACAGAATAGCAGACATGAAATTACTGTCTGCAAAGTTCTCCCCTGAAGTTAAAACCTGGCAGCACACGTGGGCTGCAGAAGTCTCCATAACACTTAGTGCAGGACTCCAGAGATGATCCTGTGTGCTGTTACTCTAAGACAGTCAGTGGTGACGTCTGTTACTGAAAGGTTTTAATGCTGCTCTTCACAGTTACAGCACTAAAAGTACTGCTGGGCTATAGAATAAAATGTATTACATAGTGAGTAGAAACTTACAGAATGAAAATACTCAATTTTACACCACAATCTATACGTACACTTAAGAGAAAAAGCACAGAAGGCAAATGCGAAGACAACAACCAGCGGACCATCCTTCAGAGGCACGCTTATGCACTGCCTGCAACAGCATTCTGAAATTCTGCAGCTGAAAATGTGAATCAATATGATTCATCTTTTATATTTTTTCATTACAAGTTAGTTCTATACAAAGTCATTGCCATGTCCCGGAAGAAATTTAATATCACATTACAGCAGCCACACAGACGCAGCAGAACAGCTTATCAGGGCAGGGAAGAAGCTCGCATGGAGCCCATGTTAGCTGCGCACGCAGCATAAAAAAAAACAGCAAAGCACAATAGTTGTGGTCCTGACAGATCACTAAGTTTAACAGCTGCCAACTGCTTCTTGCTATTGCATTTGGTGTTCACAGACTCTCTCAGAAGGGCATCTTTTTGGCACAGAGTAGCAAATGCCCTCTAACAGAAACCACTGCTGCCCCTGAGCCCGAGGCAGGCACTTGTCCCAGCTGTCCCCGGGCTCTCTCTGTGCCTGCCCAGCTCAGTCCGGCCCTCAGCCCTGGGCTGCAGCTCCCAGGCTAGGCTATTAAAAAGCATCCAAAGGAGGGCTACAAATGTGAGGAAGGGTGCAGAGGGCAAGATGTACGTGGAACAGCTGAGGTCCCTGGGTTTGTTCAGCCCAGAGCAGAGGAGCTGAGGGGAGACCTCACAGTTGCTGAGCTGCTCATGAGGGAGCAGAGGGGCAGTTCTGAGCTCTGCTGTCTGTGACAGCAACAAGGCCTGAAGGAACAGCATGGAGCTGTGTCAGGGGAGGGGCAGGTGGGGGTTAGGAAAGGGTTCTTCACCAAAGGGTGATGGGCATGGAATAGGCTGCCCAGGGCAGTGGGCATGGCCCCAGTGCTGGAGTTCAAGGAGTGTTTGGTCAGTGCTCTCAGCCATAGGGTTTGAATTTGTATGGTCCTGTGTGGAACCAGGAGCAGGACTGAATGACAGTTGTAGGCTCCTTCCAACTCAGGATATTCTGTAGTTCTACACATTTTCTGAATTTATTGTATCTAAGGACAGGTCTATATACAAAACTGAGATCTTCTAAGGAAAGTAAAATCACACGTTGCAACATGGCACTAAGAAATAGCAAATACCCAAGGTAAACCTGTATCCTATGATTTCCAAGCTGCAAAATTTGTCAGCACAAAAACACTCACCAGTCCACCTGTTGCTGTGTGACAGCCAGCTTTGAACTGTAAGCCAAAATGTCCACACAGTTTAGACCCCTCAGGAACATATCTCATTGTGAGGAGAATCTGAGCTTGGCTTACAGAAGAGGAGAGAACCTAACAGTTCCCTAAGTCCCCAACTTCTGCACTGATAACCCCAGCCAGAAACACTGCAACTCAGATCAGGGGTTGCATATTATCGCTCAGCCTCAAGCCATCCTTGTTACTCAAAATACCAGCAAGTACTCTGGGCAGCAAACAGCAGGAGGAAGCCTCAATAGCAGGGGAACTAAGGGAGGAAAATGGGAACTTGAGGAGTTAGCAGTAAGGGCTTACAAGCTCCAGCCCTTTAGGCTTCCTCTCTTGCACAGCAAATAACGCTTATTCCTTAAGGGTCACAGAGCTTGCTGTGGTTATGCCAGTTCAAAGCTTTCTGTTTCCAGCTCAGCAGTTCTTGCAGGCCTGGAGATGATTCACAGCAAAGGTAGCTCACGTGTCTCTGCGGCTCCACAGAGTGCTAAAGTGAACACAGCCGTACCAGGGGGCAACACAGCAGGGACCCGAACACAGCTAGGCCTGTGCCTGCAGCACTCAGCTACCCTACACTGAGAGCATCGCTCAGTGACACCCAGAGCAGACAGACAGACAAGCAGCTAAGCTGCACGGCACTGTACGCAGCCCTACTCCCTCACGCAGCACCCAGCACAGCCAAGCCGGGAACTCCTCCAGCCCGGGCTCAGCCCGCAGCATTCAGCCAGCAGAGCAGCGCAGCGCACCGCATTCAGTCCCAGTCCTCCGCAAGGTGCCCGGGGCCGCCGGTGTCCTCCAGCCTCAAACACGAGCACGGGGCACGAAAAGAAGGCTGTGCTGTACTGGGCTCTCTTGTCCTGTCCCCACCCCGAGGCTCCCCGTTATTCCCCCTTCCCGACTTCCGCGAGGAGCAGCACCTGTAGTTGTAGCCGCTGAAGCGCTGGCTCTCTCGTAGCAGAGCGCGGTACAGCCGCAGCACCTGGGCCCGGCTGGACGCTGCCATGTTGCCGGCGCAAAGCGGCTCCTCCCTCCCGGGCGCTTTTCCCCGCCCGCGGCGCTCGGGGCCGCCTTTCGAACCCGGCTCTCTCTGCGCGGCACGCGGCTACGCGACGCGGGAGAAGGAGGGGGGTTGAAGCTGGGCCCGCCCCGTGCTGCTGGGCGGGGTAGATGCTGACGGCCTAGGCCCGGCCGAGGCGGCCCGGAGCTGGGCAGCACGCTGTTTTTGTACGGGTGTCTGTGTGTCGGTGAGCGCAGCGTGGAGCTCGGTTGTACGTGCGTCTGTTGTGTGTGCGCGTTTGCGGCCTTCTTAAAGGTGCGTGGAGGAAGCGGGCGCTGACTGTAATTAACGGGAGGAGGAGGGGGGTGGGAAAAGGTGTGTGAAGTTGGGCAGTGTGAGGTTGGGATTGGGGTCTTTCCAGGCCTGGAAGTTAAGCAGCCGGTGAATAACGTGATTGCTAAGCAGCTTGGCGTGCCTGAGCCTGCTGCACTGTGGGCTTTGCCTGCTGCTGCCCTAATGGGAGGCCGTGGGCACGGGCTGAGGCTCCCTCTGAACACCTGGCAGCACTTATGTGCTGTGTGGAGACGAGGCACAGGCTGCACAGAGGCAGTGGAATCTCCTCCTTGGACAGGATAGGAGCCTGAGTACCCTGCTCTGGGCTCCCTGCTGCAGCTGGGGTTGGGTCAGATGGACCACAGGGTCCTGCCAGCCTCAGCCCTTCTGTGATTCTGTGCTGTGTGAACCATTCCTCCTTCAACACCCCATCTGGAGTTGAATTATGTTACTAAAACCATACGTGTTCCGCAAGCTCCTGACTGTAGCTCAAATGCTCTTTGAATTAAGCAGTGAGAACTTCTGAGGGAGATTAACAAGTTCTTCCTGTCTCAGCTCTTTTATTTGCAAGAGGAAACCCCTGGTAGCATTTTTCCTACTTTCCCTACAGCTATGAGAAATGACCACAGCGGTGCTATTGGTGAATTTAATGCACAGGCCTACATGTGTTAGAACAGGCCTTGGAGAGGGCAGTACCCAGACAACAGTCTGTATACACAGTGCCTTGGTATTGCACAGTCCAGAGAACAACAGGTACCTGAATAGTTTTAAAAAAGCTCTGCTTGTTTATTTGTATTTTACTCTCTGCAGTGAGGCTGAGACTCAGATTCTGCTTAATCACCTCTTATATTGTTTATGTCTGAGGCATTCCAGTACTTTTCCTGCTGGAAGCACATAGCATCCCCTCCTACTGAAAGTTTTGCCACTACAGAATAAATTTGGTCTTGTAGCTTACGCATATGTTGCCCCACCTATGATGATAATATTACTGTAATATGAATTCTTTATATTCTTACCTGCATCACAGCGCATTTTGTAAATAGGATATGTTTATGTGTATTCTAAATGTGTCTCTGACAAAAGTATTTCAATTGTTGCTAATTATAAACTCAGGACAAGGGGAAATGGTTTTATGTTGAAGGAGGGAAGATTTAGGTGGATTTAGGTTGGATGTCAAGGGGAAGTTCTTTACAAAGAGAGTGGTAAGGTGCTGGAACTGGCTGCCCAGAGAGGTTGTGGATGCATCATCCTTGGAGGTGTTCAAGGTCAGACTGGATGGGGCCCTGGGCAGCCTGGTCTGGTATTAAATGGGGAGGTTGGTGGCCCTGCGTGTGGTAGGGTGGTTGGAGATTCATGATCCTAGAGGTCCCTTCCAACCCTGGCCATTCTGTGATTCTATGAAACTCATTATATGTGTATGCTCGAGTATTGTTTTTCGTGCCAGTTGTACATCTGATGCAATTACTGCATAAAACTAAAGTAGTTCCTAGTATAAATAGTATCAGTGACACGTCTTAAATTTTTATGTGCATGCTCATATGATCTTTATATTAGAACAGCTCTTTTAGGCTTCTGCAAACTGACATTTTCCACACATGCCAGATTTCTTGGGTATTCTTTTTATCAAAACCCAAACTAGAAATGCTAGAGGAAATGCCTTTTTAAAAATTATTTTATTATTTTTTAATTTTTAGAAAAATACAAGCAATGGAGACATTGCAGTGAGCATCATGTTGTCAAGGCTCTCCTTTTAAAATCACAAAATAATATGTTTTGTTCTAGCTTTTGGCCTTCAGGAAACACAGACAGAAAACTTTGTTGAACACATGGTTCAGAAACCTCTGTGTTTAAAGAATCTAAAGAACTGCCTGGAGGACTGAATCCTTTTAGCCCAAGCTATATTGCTAGCCCAGGCTGCCATGCCAAGAGTGGAGTCTACATGAATTGCCAGTGTTCTCCCATCCTGGTAGTTTTCAGCAGTTATGGTGCTTAATATGTGTTAAAGCAGAACAGCTTTAATCCAGAGATTTATCGTCTTCCCTGAACACAGCAGCAACAACCCATCCTTTGTTTGGGTCATGGGCTTCAGACAGCTTAAAAGATGTCATGTACAGAACAAAACCTAGCTTTGAGAGTTCAGCAAAATTTAGTGGAGTTATTCTGTAGGTGAGCATGACAATGGCTCTATCAAATTTTAGAATAAGCTTTATTATTTTCGATGAGTAGAACATTGTTATTACAGTCGTCAACTATAGAAGATGTGAGAATAATTAGGAAAAAGCAAGAGGCATTAGGTAAATCTTGGTTACAAGAGCACTTGGTTTAATATTTGTAAGGTAATTAGAGGAGGTGGTTTAGAAATGACTTTGGGTGTTAATCCTGTTTCTGAATCTCCTTGACAATGACTGAGGTTGTTTATTTATTTACTCATTTATTTAATAACCATGTTTCTTTCAAAGAAGTATCAGAACTTACTATGTTTAAAATGAGCAATAAGCATGTGTACTGTGAAATGCAAAGGAAGCACACCAAAGCAAAAGAAGTCTTCTCGTCTCCCCTTCCTGTCTTAACCTTTATTTGACTTCGGAAGGGAAGAACAATTTTTAAGCAGAAAAACTGGAAAAAAATATTATTTTCTTAAATATTTTACTAATGCTTTTTCTTGGAAGCTTTTCTGAAGCCATGGATTATGGTCTCTGCTGATCTGCAGTCAGAGAGAATTACTTCTGCTGTGACTAAAGTTTGTAATTTTGAGTAGAGTGGGTTGGATGTTTCTGCTGGCCTTCTGTTCAGGTGCATCACTGCAGGCCTACAGAGTATTTCAAGGACAGACACAGCCCAAATGATTGGTATGACCTCTGTTATGTCCTGTGACCCCAAAGCCTGTATTTTGGGAAGCAGAGATGACTTCTTTAACCTGTTTCTTCACTCCCTGAGTTTAGTCTAAATGCCAAACCAGGACCAGTCAAGACACAAGATCCAAACAATCCGGATGGGTGGATATTTTTCTTCCTTTCTTCTTTTAAGTTATTTTTAAAAATTTATTTTACTTTTCAGAACAACTCTGGTTTAAAACTCAGTGCTATTTTATTACTTTTTATGATGGTGGGAGTAGAGAGATGTTGCTCTTAATTGCAGAGGTGCATGTATTTGAAGGGGGTTGACCAGTGTACGTCTGTACAAACATTTTTGCCTCTGGCATTTGGTCTGTCAGAGGAAAATGCCTTTCCTTTTTTGCATTTTGTGATAAATGAGCAATTCGAGAATAATACAGTAATATGGGTATCTGGAATGGTTACTAGTATTTGGAATATGTAGCTGCTCAAAAGGAGGGGAAAAAAAAAAGAAAAAGGAATTTGGATGACGTACCTGAAAAGATGTTGGACTGCTGTGAAAGGAAACAGCTGTTATATTCTCCACTACATGTTGGATGTTTTGTTGTTCGTTGCCAAATTGTTCCTTATGGTGCAGTATTTCAGCTTTATGACATGGCACTCAACACTTTAAGAGAACATGTGCTTTCCTGTTATGCTGCTGCTCGTGTTGATTATTTTCCTTTTGGGGTCAGAATGATAATTGATTGCTGCGATATTATCATCTCTCAATTATTATTTTCCAGTTTGTGAAAACTTTCTCACTTTTCCCTGCTGCTGTGGCTCTCTTTCTGTCTCTTCTTTCCAGCTGTTAGTTGCTGATGGACAGTGTCATGCACAGCGAGATCCAATCTGGGTTATTTTGGATCATATACAATAAGGACTATAAGTCAAGGGAAATCTTTGTCAGAGTTGCAATGAATTATATGATTCAGCCATTCCCTGTTGTGAGCAAAATTTAGACAGTATCTAAAGAAGGCACTGAATAACTCTGCTTCTTACAGTTCTTTTCTCTTTTTTTTTTTTTTATTGCCTTTTTGGACAAGATATTAAAGCTAGCTTTTAATCAGGAGAAGAAACTTTTGTGTTTCAAATTCATCTGTGCTCCTAAATTATTTGCACATCTTAGAAAATTTGAGATAAGCGTTCAGAAGGAAAAAGAAGCAGTAGAAAACTTTGTCACTTTTTGTGCATTACCCCATTTCTTCCTGAATTGACATGCAAGATGTTTGAAGACTCTAGGAACAGTAATAATAATTAAAACAAAGAAACCAAAACTAGCTGTTGGTCTTCTGTTTGTAATAGTTGGCCTTGTAAGGAATTCCTGTCTATCACTGCTCCTAAAACTTTGCTGGTTTGTGATCTCTAGTGTTGCAGAGATGCTGACTTTTTTCCTTTTTGGCCTCAATTTTAGGTTTTCAATTTCCTATGGCCACGTGCAACTCTGCAGGATTTAATGGGCATTGCATTTGCTTATGAATTATATAGCATGTTAAGCAGCTGGGTAGTTCAGCAGCATGGGATAACATCTGGATCAGCGTTGTGCTATATTGATATATTTCATATTGATTGTAAAGGACTTTTGTAGTGGACGTACCTGTGAAGTACTTCGACATTCATGTATGAAAAATGTTTTAAGAGTCTGGAATTATCATTTTCCAAATATCAGAAAGACTAGAAGTGTCTTCTTCCTATTGGTTAGAGTCGAGCTGATGTGGGAATATTTGCTGCCTGAGGTAAAATAATTGCTGGAGTTTAAGGTGTACCTTACTTTTGCCTCACTGTGACATCTTTGGTCTTCTATCTTTTGTCAGTGTCAGTTTTTGTTCCTGGAGGTCTGACCATAATAATTAAGGACACATTTATAACTATCTTACGCTTCTAATGTGTTTATAGGATAATTGTCAGTATCTTCTATATGTCTTCATACTTTTTAATTCTGGTTTTCATATTTAGACTGACTGTGTCAAAATTTGCTTTCCAGCCTGTCCCCAGAGTGAAGAACACACCAAATCTAACAGGCAAATGAAGTGGGGCTGAGAAGATATCTCTACTTGCTGGTAAGTAGTTACAAATGCATTTAACATTCTGAATCTGTGCTTGATGCTCACTTTGCCACAATTTTTAGGCAATAACAGGTTTTCAGTCCTTGCCCATTTTAAATAGTAGCAAATATTTCTCATCTTTACAGTCAACAACTGTTAAAGACCTTGCTGTACATCTAATTTTACTTTCCACATAGATTTAATGGGTTTCCTTGCTACCAATTCCAAGAGAAAGAAAGCAGTGAGACCCAATGTATAAAGACATGTGATAATGATATTCTGAAGGACAAATTATATCACCTGTGTATTAGAGCATGTCTGTTTCTTTGAACATAGTTCCTTGAAAGCTGTCCATGTAAGCAACAAGTTACTGTTTGGTGCAAGCACAGGCAGCACAATCCTTATTTTGCAAGCCATTTAGAGCTGATTCAAGTCAATCCAGTGCAGGATGCCCTGGTGAGTGATAATAATTATGCACTTAGAAACCTCACCATTAACTTTTCAACGTTATGTTTCTGCTTCAGACACAGAGTAGGCTAAAGAGAATGTGTGTTTGTGTCCCTTCATAACTCTTTTGTTTTACTTCAAAGTGAGGTCGAGGATGCTTTTCAGGAGGGATGCTGACCAGTGAAATAGAGCTAGGGAACAGTGTAAAGTTCTGCAGAGGGGGAAGGAGAGTTGATGGGAAAATCAGTAGTTTGAAATATTGTTTTGGCAAGACTTGTGGAGAATTTATCTACGTGGAAAAAATCTATTCTGTTTTTATGTGAGACTGTTATTTTAAAATAAAGTAATTTTTAAGAATAAACACTGGTTAAAAGACCTTGCATGTTTTAACAACTCCTGTATTGTCACCTGTTTTAAGAGTTCATTTGACTGCAGCGTCTACTGATTCTCCTTTCAGACCCTTGGTAGAGCTCACTAGGTTTGTGTGAAAATTGATCTTCTAGGACACTAATTGCAACTGGTTTTAAAGAAAACCTAAGACAAAGACTATATTTTAATTTTAATTCTCTTAGTTAATGCCACATCCATTACATACTTACAATTCTTTTGTTGTGTGTCCATGACCTAAAATAACACCTTGTTCTTCATTACTAGTAAATATTTGATTCTTTCATGTTTTCTATTTCTGCCCAACTTGTATAGCTTTGTCCATCCATTCAGTGTGTGTACCTTGGGTCAATAATGCAAGATGAGGGGTGTTATGTTACCTTTGTTTTCTGTAGAGTAGAATGGGGAATACTTCCATGTACCAGAGTTTGAGATATGTATACTGAGCTCTGTGTTTACTTTTCACTAAGACTTTCTTTAAAGGCTATTATTTTCAAGTATCTGGTGTGACAGAAGGGCTCTCTGGCACAATCAAAATATATGGCTTCCTTGAGGCAAAGGTTTTTTTATTCTCTGTACTGTGCTTTATCTGCCTTAAGGCTTGCTAATGTTTATACACTTATAGCATTTGTTACCTGATAACATTAAAGATAATAAAGCACAAAGCTGTTTGAGTGCCCGTTGTGCTAGACTGGTGCATGCTATAGGCCCAATATATTCTCTTTTCTAGCTTAGTGACAAAGAAGTTAGTAATGCTAGTCATGTTCTTTCTACTGTAGAACTGTCACACTTTCTTCTATCCTCTGGTAGCAGGACTGGATAGAGATAGGAGCAAGTGTATAGTCTTGCACCTGGATAGGAATATCTATATGCATCAGTACATGTTAGGGGCTGACCTGCTGGAAAGGGGCCCTGCAGAGAAGGACCTGGGTGTCCTGGTGGACGACAACAAGGTTGACCACAAGCCGGCTGTGTGCCCTTGTGGCCAAGAAGGCCAATGATATCCTGGGTGCATTAAAAAGAGCATGGTCAGTAGGTCAGGGGAGGTGATCCCCCTCATCTCTGCCCTGTTGACTCATCCGGAGTACTGTGCCTAGTTCTGGGCTTCTCAGTTTAAGAAAGCCAGGGATCTCCTAGAGGGAGTCCAGCTGGAGCACTGCAGGGATGGTGAGTGGCTGTGAGCATCTTCCTTATGAGGAAAGGCTGAGTGAGAGACCTGGAACTCTGGAGAAGAGAGGACTGAGAGGGGTTCTTTTAACTGTTTATAAGAATCTAAAGCACGGGAGTCGAGTTCTTGTTAATGACTAACAGCAGTAGAACAAGAGGCAACGAGTAGAAAACCAGAACGTAGGAAGTGCCATACTAACACAAGAAAGAGCTTTGGTCAGGGTGATGGAACACTGGAACAGGCTGCCCGGAGAGGTTGTGGAATCCCCTTCTCTGGAGTCATTCAAGATGCCTGCCCGTGTGACCTACTGTAGGGATCCTGCTTTAGTGGGGAGATGGACTCAATGATCTCTATAGATTCCTTCCAACCTTTACAATTCTGTGATTCTTTAATTTAAACTAGTGTTTAAATTTACATTCTCCTTGCTTTGTTTGCTACAGAATACTTAGTTCTCCTTTAACAAGTTACAGGAGATAACACCTTTTTTGAGCACTGTAAAGTCCATGGTATTCTAACATGGTCAATTGTAGTGTTAGGAGGTAGGTATGCTTAAATAACTATGAAGTGTAATTGGCTAAATCAATCCTAGCTGTAAACTTCAACAGAACCAGAGCACGATTCTATCAGGAAATAAGAATGGGATTAAGCAAATCCATTTTAAAACTAGACTGATATTTATTTGAGTAGGCAGAATTTTAAATTGAAGAATTATTTTTTAAACTTTCTAATGAATATTTCTTAGCATCACTGCCTATAAGTCAGTATCACTTGTTGCAGTTAAAGTAATTTTAAGGAAAAAGACTACGCTTTTTACCCTAAGGCTTTAAACATAGTTAATACGTTTCTTTAGCTGCAGATACAGAAAGTATTTCACAGTATAAGCACAGTATTTTCAAAGTGTGTTTTCTGTCTTTTGGTAATGCTTGTGCATTTGTAATGTAGGATAAACAGAGTGAAATTTTAAAGCTTGTTAATGAAGGTTGGCTAGGCAGTTAATTCATGTGAGTCTTCTTGAATATGCTTGTTTTCTAAAAGAGCAAAGTCAGTCATATTGCAGGCCAGCAATGTGTTGGAAGGCTGATGAGGCAGCACAGAGATGTGATAAATTCATGTGGGATTTTGAAGAGCAGGTTGTCCATCCACATGTATTTTATTGCTGGGGTCAAGGAAGTAACAGCAGAGTAGTTAAAAATATATAGAGAGTAAATACATTTGCTAGGAAGAACAGGGTAAAGGAATAAAACTGAGAGTGCTCAGCGCTGCAGTCTGTTTTTTATTTTCCCCTCTAAAATTTGTATTTCTGTGAGGCCAGTTGTCCTGAGACAAAAACTGCGTCTGCATGAGATTTGCTGACAGAGCCCTTTGTCTTGTTTGTGAATCCTGCTGTTCATGTTTGTCCAGCATTTTGTAGTGGTGCTGGTTTGGATTGAAATGGATTGAAGTGTTTGGAAATCCACATGTAGGTTGCTTCCCCCCGCTCCCTCCACCTTTCTGTATAGCACTCTATAGGCCAGTTGCTTTTTTCATGTTTTTTTTTTTCTTGTCTTATTAATATCTACAGCCCATGTGACTTGAGATAGGATGTAAATTGTGGTACAGTGATTCTGAACAGATTCTGTAGTGTAGTCTCTATCAGCAGTTCTAGCCTGAGACTTGGGGTTAAATTGTTCTTGTAAAATGAAGGGGTCTTCTGCAGGACCAGAACACGGCAGCCTAAATCGCTTGCACTTAAATAGAGAAATAAACAAATCCCATCTTCATTTTCTGATTCACTCAGTCAACAGAAAAGGGCTTCAGAAATGGGGAATTATGCCAAAACAGTAAAGGCTTTTGCATTATGTAAAGAAAAAGCATCAGAGTAAGTGCGATTTACTTCTCTCTACAAATCATGGGACCCCTTTACACGTTTCAGAGATAATGGGCCTTTGACAGTGAACCAGCAACAGTGTTTTAGAGCAGAACAAAGGCTCTCAAGTGTTTTTCAAGAACAATATTAATGTCTGGGTGAACTTACAGGGAGAATTTTTTTACTTATATCTTAATCTAGAATGGATTTCAGCTGAATTACTGCTGACAGCACCCTGCTGTTTGGATGCTGCTGAGTAATGGGTTTGGGGCAGGGGCAGCCTGGAGGTGGGACAGGAGCCTCAATCAGGCCAAGAGATATTCTGGACCCCACACAGGAAGATTGTAAAGCTGGGGGCAGTTGACTGGTTGCTGCTCTGGGGTTGCTGAGCATTGGTCAGTGGGAGTGGGACCTCATGTTGCTGGTGGACATCATGTTGGTGCTGTGTGGTGGCTGGTTAATGGCAATTAACTGCATTGCAGCTATGTGTGTCGTTACTGCATTTCTGCTTTTATTTTTCTGTTTTGGTGATCAGTTTTTATCATAACACAAATTCTATTTTGTTTTCAATTCTTTTCCCCGTAACACTTGTGGGGTATGAGTGAATGGCTGTGTGATGTTGAGCTGCTGCTGGGTTATTCCACAGGAGTGGAGCATGGCCATCTGGGACTACTGAGCAGCTGCAGCAAAGGAAATCTGAGGTCTGTTAATAAGGGCTATACTTGCACCATCCTGTTTTTTGTTTTTTTTTCCATGTTGGGTCTCTAACATGGAGCAGGAGGTGCAAAGAGCAATGAATTTGATCAAAGGCAATGGCTTGTCCATTCAGAAACAGTTGATGTCTGTTTTAAGGCATGAAAGATGTAAAGTGGACAACTAGTTGGCATTGCATATACAAATTTGATGGAAATTTTCTGAAAATGATTTTTCATTTAAGAATTGTTGTCCCCATGTTGAAGCAATATGAGTTTTCAGTCATTGACACTGGTCTTCTTGTCAGAAGCCAACTGCTTCAGTTTCTCACTTACCTGTTGATTCTTGAATAGAGACAAATATTTTTTATCTGATTGCCTATGTAGTGTTCAGCTGGCTGAAGTTGTCTAGCAGTTGAGGCATTGCATTTGACATCCAATTAAAAATGGGCAATTATTTGATCTGAGTATTTGT